ACCACCAGGCCCCATCTCAAACACTGGGAATTACAATTCAACAAGAAATTGAGAGAGAAAACAGAGCCAAATTATATCATCTTCCCTTACAAATCCTCTACATGCAGATATTTGAGCACCTCCATCATTTTTTTTGCATTGTCATTGTTATGTAACAGAACATTCCATCCCAACTCCAAATAATGTGTCAGTGTTCATTCAGCATTAGTTCTCCACTTACCTGGGTTTGGAAGTAAGGCACCTGCTTCTGTACTTAACTAAATTTTATTTGCAAAGCAGAGTCTAGAGTCATATATAACAGCTCTCTCTTGTTGAAAGGATTTTAAGTGATAGTGTGACATTAAATGACAATAAATCCAATGTGGAATAAGTATACAAGAGATGATACTATCCAAAGACTTCCTCAGTGCTTTCAAGAATGTTTTGGAACATGGGCCTATTATTGAGAACTTAACTGATAAAATTAGATTTAGGGTGAATGAGGCTTATTGAATCACATAAACTCAGTTTACTGAAGGTCTCATGTTCTATTTTCTTGTAAATTCTCAAATTATAGAAAGGAGGCAGTCACTGTTGACTGAAAAATTAGAGCACAGTGAGAAAAAGAAACTAGATTCTTATCTTGCCCAGTTGTAATTACTGAGAGATCATTGTTCAGTGTGTTGCAGATATTTTCTCTGATTAAAACTCACCATATTTCTTCATAAGAAAATCATAAGCAAATCTAAAATGTTTTATCTTTTCATTTATACGTAATATGAAGTTTTCACCAACCCTCTATACACACACAGAAAAACCCTTCTAAACTCAGCTTTGTTGCAGCTTTTCCAAATTTTCAAATAAACTCTATGGAATTTAGCTGAAACACTTTTAGTAGCCTTACCTATAAACCTTGAAGACCCAGGAAGCTCTGAGTGGTTATACTAATTCAACAAAGTCATTCGGAGTCTTTTGAAAGTTTGGAAAGATGTGTGAGTACATATGAGATCCATCATCTGTCCATGATCCTCCAACGTAAAAGAGGTGTCTACTTGCTAAGGACCGGTTTCTCCATTGCAGCCATTTGAACTTTCCAAGGGATGCAAAATAAAAACGCAGAAGCAAGCATATAATAGATACATGTTGATTTCATAACAAAGACAGTATTCTGCTTCCTTTCCAATAGTCCCAGAGCTAATTACTCTTCTGTGTTCTCTCCTCTGTGCATTCCTCTCTGATGATACCTCTCACAAGTATCTGTCAGCCCTACTACTACACAGTGCACCCCTTAAGATGGAGATTCGGATCTGCAGTACCTTATGTGTTACACACTGTAGGAATGCAATTAAAGTTTGTTGAATCAAAACATTTTGTTTCAATGGATCAAACTATCTGTTCAAGTCACTGACTTTTCATATATATATATATATATTTTTTTTTTTTTTTTTTTGAGACGGAGTTTCACTCTTGTTGCCCAGGCTGGAGTGCAATGGCGCAATCTCGGCTCACCGCAACCTCCGCCTCCTGGGTTCAGGCAATTCTCCTGCCTCAGCCTCCTGAGTAGCTGGGATTACAGGCATGCACCACCGTGCCCAGCTAATTTTTTGTATTTTTAGTAGAGATGGGGTTTCACCATGTTGACCAGGATGGTCTTGATCTCTTGACCTCGTGATCCACCCGCCTCGGCCTCCCAAAGTGCTGGGATTACAGGCGTGAGCCACTGTGCCCGGCCCATAGATACATTTTTATTTTAAAATAGAATCTTACACTCATCATTATCCCTTGTCTCATAATTCTAATATCTACAACAAGATTTTAGCAACATTTTAAAGGTTCAAACAACATCAGGTTTAAGCAAAGCACTCCCTACTAGTATTCCACTAATTAGAGCAATTGAAACCAAATGTAAATTCAGTTCAGGAAAGATTAAAATTTTCCTTATTTTTCCTATCAATATCAATAGCCATAATCTGAAATGTCTTACTGAACCAATCTCATACATATTTTAAAATATAACACTGGGAATTTTAGGGAAAGAAAACTATTTTGTATACTGTAATGATGGATACATATCATGATACATCTGTCAAACTCATAGAATGTATAGCACCAAGAGTGAACTCTAATGTAAACTATAGATTTTAGACAATAATGCTGTGCAGCCATAGTTTCATCAACTGCAACAAATATTTCACACTAGTGAGGGATGGTACTGGTGACGCTGGAAGTGAGGTGAAGGGTGGGGAGTATGTGGGAACTCTGTACTTTCCACTCAATTTTACTGTAAACCTAAAACCACTGTAAAAATGAAGTCCATTAATTTTTCTTAAAAAAGAAAAAGATAACACTAAGACTACATGAAGTATTTCTTTTTGTAGAACTCCAATCTAAACCTTTTAGCACAGTTTCATAGAGGAAAACCTGACACCCAGATTGTTTGTGAGACCCACTGTTTCTTCTACGGGCTTTTTTGAAATCCTCTACAATTTCAACCAAAGTCATTGATTCAATACAGTTATAATTTGACAGTTCATCGTTTCCTAATGAATTTTACAAAGAGGGGCCAGATAGTGGCAACCTCTTTAAAATTAATATGGAACTTTCGACGCCTGGCCTTGCACTCGTCAGAACTTGCTGGTACAACTTGACCAAATTTGCCTTGTTCTGGCACAAATGTCAACTTAATAGCCTCTGAGAGAGAAGCTGCATTACTACATGACTAAGGTGACCTCAACAGCCAATTGTGATACAGGAATTTTGAAAGGACTCCCTCTTTCAAGAGTTTATATTTCTATTCGAATGTGGAAGCATGCAACTGTAAATGCATGCACTTCGAAATCTATATTGGGGTGTAGCAAAACGTTGGGAGCTTCAGAGCAATTTCTAAATACACAAGAGGCAAACGTTTATTTGATCTCAGACCAGAGATTCTTAACATTGTGTCAAGAAAAGATTATTTCAAAAAACGATTTTCCCTATCTGAAGAGCGTTTAATTCCTTAACAAGTTAGGAGCCCAGCATTTCCCAAACCGACTTGGCCCCATAACTTTGGGGGCTCCTGCTGCTGTTCCTTGGAAGCTGTCAGTGTATTTGGATGATAATAACAGCAGGCTGTTACAAATAATGTTTACATCATTTTACTGTAACATAACTTACTCACGATTGTCTAGAGGAGTGAGAGGACACTAGAGAAACAAACATGAACAATGCTGAAGATTTTAACAGGAAAGTAAGTATGGATTGAACCACAGGAAGCATACAAACAAATGCCTTTATGTCATCAGTTTCATTCGGGTCATTTCCAAAGTGGCCACCTCATCTCTCCAGTTCTCTTTCTTAATGCATCATGTTATTTCCCAACATAAAATGATGCTTATTACATACAATAGAATGACTTCATTATACTGAAGTTAATGACTGTAAGTGAAATTTATAATATTGTAAATTGTCTTCTTCAAATATTTACTCCCCTCCCTTATCAGCTTTACCTAATACTATTAGAAGTTTCTCTCAGTAAAGTCTTTCTTGTGCTTTTAAAGGAAAGTATTGTCCTTTCAGGGGTAAAATCCAAGGAAGCTTAAGTTAAACTGGGTACTCTATAAATAAGCCACATTGTTATATAAACTCTTGAAAGCCTATATTTTACTAACCTCTCTATCCTGATAAATGATTAGTCACCTAGTTCCTTGAGTTTTGTTTGTTTGTTTTTTAAACTATAATCTCAACTGAGGCTAAAACTACTACCTCTCCAGAGATATTGCCAATATATGAAAGATCATTACCTAAGAAGTACACATTATTGGTCTACCCAAATAGACTTTTATTTTGCCTTAAGCAGTTTTTCCTCTGATACTATGGCTGTTGTATCAGTATATTTACATATTCTGTCATATTTGTATACAATTAAACATTTATTTATTTATTTGAGACAGAGTCTCACTCTGTCACCTAGGCTGGAGTGCAATGACACCATCTCGGCTCACTGCAACCTCCGCCTCCCAGGTTCAAACGATTCTCTTGCCTCTGCCTCCTGAGCAGCTGGGATTACAGGCACATGCCACCATGCCCAGCCAATTTTTGTATTTTTAGTAGAGACAGGGTTTCAACATCTTGGCCAGGCTGGTCTTGAACTCCTGACCTTGTGATCCACCCACCTCAGCCTCCCAAAGTGCTGGGATTACAGGCGTGAGCCACCGCGCCCGGCCAACATTTATTTTTTAAATTTGTTTTAATGAAACTTTATTCATTTCCTAAACAGTAATATGCAAAAATCAAAGGTTGATATACTAATTAGATTCTTAATAAATAAGATAATATTAAAAGCCATGTACCCTTTAAAATCATCTTATGTATCACCAGTAGGATATCTAGCATACACCTTGGAAAATACTAACATGGAAATTTCCTGCCATGGAAATAAGGGATGAGAAGCCGAGTGGGAAAACGTGAAAATAGTCTCTCATAACGCTCCTTCCTTTCAGATATGTGCAAAAATAATTAAACAAAAATTATTTGTTTACTTTGCACTGCTTCCTGAGAAGAAAAAAAAAAGAACTCTTAAAATATTTTGACCAGATGAATTTTATAGTCAAGGACTATCCAAAGCATTGAGTAAGATACAACTCTATGTGATGAATTTCTATGTGAGTTTCTATGTGATAAATTAATACACCAAATGAAATGGTTTACTGAAACATGCAACTTTTAAAAGAAACAAATATCCTCCAGAACCAAAGACTGATGCTGTTAATGCTTTAGACATGTGACACATGTGTGTGTACTTCTGTGTGTTTAATTTTCTTTCTTTCTAATCAAGTGACCTGTTCTCGTTTGGTTAAGTTTCAACCACAAGACATCACTGTATGCTTTTTTTTTTTCAAGATACACGTCACAGCACACCAAGAAAGGGGGAACTTCCAGTGTCTGTGGTAATATCACTTGATAAACAGACTCCCTTGAACAGCAAGTGCCTGTCTGCATTTACTATATAAAGCAGCAGAGACGTTGACTAGCGCATATTTGCTAAGAGCACCATGCGAGCAGCAGCCATCTCCACTCCAAAGTTAGACAAAATGCCAGGAATGTTCTTCTCCGCTAACCCAAAGGAATCGAAAGGAACCACTCATTCACTTCTAGACGACAAAGTACAAAAAAGGAGGCCAAAGACTTTGTAAGTTTGTTCAGAGTCTCACTTGTGAGTTCTAACAGGTTATCTTTAACGGCAGAAGGATTGAGAATGAATGGAAGAGAATGTGAGCATTTATGTTGGTCCTGATCAGAGGAATTAACTGCCTGTTGTGAGTAATAAGTAATACTCCATTGTAACAAAAAAATAAACTTGATACGGCATTAAATTTGGTAGTTTTTCTTGACAATGACTCATAAAAATGAGCTCTATTTGAATATAGCAAAATGTTGTATCAATAACTTTTAGTATTGCCTTATCCCTTATAGAAATTTATTCTATGTCTTCTGACAAATAAAATGAATTCTGAAGAAACATGAATATTCACTTTTATGTCTTTTGTAGTGGAATGGATATGAAAGCATACCTGAGATCTGTGATCCCACATCTGGAATCTGGAATGAAATCTTCCAAGTCCAAGGACATGTAAGTACATGAATACAATGAACTATCATGATCATTTACAACAGGAACCTATGCACTGCCTCTATGTCCCAGCAAGGGGTAAATACTGTGCACAGCAGACTTCATTTCTTTTAAGAAACATGTCAAATAAATTTAGACTATATCAGTACCAATGTAAATTGAATAAAATGTGTGTGCAAACATATTGGATTTTATCTATTTGGAATTTTTTCACACTTTATTGGCAGTTTTTTTCATAACTATAGTAACTGTAAGGGAAGTTTTGCTTTTTGTGAATAAATTTTACTGTATTTATTAGAACTATAGTTTTAGTTTGTGAAGTTACCAAGATGTAACAGTCATTTTTATTTCATTTGGGATTACGTTTAAAAATTCTGCTAATGTATGTAAATTTTGTTCCCTGTAGACTTTCTGCTGCTGAAGTAATGCAATGGTCTCAATCTCTGGAAAAACTTCTTGCCAACCAAAGTAAGTCTAACTACTGAATGTTTCTGGGTTCAGCTCAATACTCTAAAAAAATTTGAATGGCTTCACTAAATATAGTATTTTGCATAGGACAGTATGCAAAAAGTTGTATTCTAGTTTGTCTATGGTTACTGATAACTTCAGCATAGTATGCCTCTTAATAATGCTGACTTAGCACTCAACTCTGCCAAATTCTTTTAGACAAATTTGCTAAGACAATTAGGTGTTTTCAAAGATCATCATAGAGATAAAATTAAACATTGTGCTGGGATTCTGATATATAAAGCTTTTAAAACTAAGCCCAATATTTTAACATGTACATTGCCATTTTGAAATCTGCCTAAAGAATGTATTTTTGTACACTTGTATGTAACAAGAATGATTCATTCATTCAATTAATTATCTTTTCTTTCATACATTCATCATTCATCTCAGCCTTATATAGAGGACACTGTAGAGGTACCAAGTATTCAAAATCAAAGACAGTCTCTTACTGCCCTGAAGGTGGTTGAAATACATAACATAAATAATTGGATTACTATAACGTGATAGTTGTTATAACATAAATATGATAGAAGGATTTTTAAGCACAAATAGTCTTGTGGAGATTTTCTGATGAGAGAAGGTAAAGAATGAAATCAGCTTGCTTTCCCCTTGCCTTGGGCATTAAAATTCTACTGAGATTAGGACCTTTTTCAGAGGTGTAGATGAGCAGCATGGTCTCTATCTCTAAAGGGTGAGATTATTATTTTCTCCCCACAGACACCCTAAGGAGCCTCACTTGGGAATCAAGTTGTTCACTCTAGCTCCACTGACTCAGTTTATAATTCAGCTAAATGAAGAGCTGGCATACATATGGACCATAAATAGTGCAATACAAAAGTCTCAGTAAATCCTAGCAGACATAATCAGTACATCAGGCCTGCAGATCAAATATAGGCCTAACATTTTCTGGCCACTATGAATTAGGTGGGGAAATTATATTTACTAATTATTAATGTGAAGTTAAAGCCTTTTGTCAGTGTTTGCTTCCCTAGTATACTCTCTACTCTGGCTAAGATTTGGCACATATAAAAGATGGTTTTATATTCAGTGGAACAGAATTTCAATTCAAATAGCAGATAAAAGCAAAGCATAGTTCAGTAGCCACTATTAAGCAGCAATGTGACTGTGGACCAGTTTGTCTGGCCCCAGATTCCTCTTCTATGAATGAAGGAATTTCAAATGCCTTCAGGTCTCTACAAATTATGGCACAGCTATTTCAGCAGTAGCCATCTCCTACTTTGTATGAATAGGAAGCAACTGTATTTTTCTTACACATTTCTTCCTCAAATTATTCATCTGTCGGTTCATTCAATTTAATTATCTCCCCACCCGCCCTGTCCCCCACCCACTTTCTTTTTAGCTGGTCAAGATGTCTTTGGAAGTTTCCTAAAGTCTGAATTCAGTGAGGAAAATATTGAGTTCTGGCTGGCTTGTGAAGACTATAAGAAAACAGAGTCTGATCTTTTGCACTGCAAAGCAGAAAAGATATATAAAGCATTTGTGCATTCAGATGCTGCTAAACAGGTGAGTATTAAGCTTACCATCATTGGTTTCTCTGTAAAAATCCCCAAATGCAGAAATAACATTTAATATATACAATAAGGTAAAATCCTTTTGGGGTATATAAGTTACATTACTTAGGATGTAAACATAGTTCAGGGCAATGAGAATCTAGTTTTCTATATTGGTGAAGATTTCAGCACAGTAGAATGAAGAGGCTGATTTTACAAAGCCAGCTGCCATGATGAGGGTGAGGAAAAGGGTAAGGGTGTCATAACTGATAAGAACTCTGTGTCAGGAAGTCCTTAATGAGGGCTCTCATTTTGGATAAGAAAATAAAGATTAGCATAACGTATACAATTGCAGCAACAAAAGTATTTCCAATTAACAGTAGTATCAGATAAATATTCTTGGTCCAAGCAGAAAATAGCAGCAAAAAGAGCCTTCTCCTCCTGTAAATCTTAAATGCCCATATCACCCTTTGTGATATATGAATCATCTTATGTGGATAAATTTTTCATGTCTGCTTCTTCTGCATCTCCCAACTACACTGTGAGCAAACTTGAAACAAAGTCATTTTTGTAATATTTCTTATCTCTTTCACATCTACTAGAAAGCTGATTCTGGAAAGGCATTTAAGAGATATTTGAATTGATTTAAATGAAGCCTTAAAATCACTTTCTGAGGTCCTTCAAAAAACACCGTAACATCATCATAAAATTTGCAATAAATAAGAAGTATATATTAACTAACAAGGATTTCTTTTTAGATCAATATTGACTTCCGCACTCGAGAATCTACAGCTAAGAAGATTAAAGCACCAACTCCCACATGTTTTGATGAAGCGCAAAAAGTCATATATACTCTTATGGAAAAGGACTCTTATCCCAGGTTCCTCAAATCAGATATTTACAAAAATCTTCTAAATGACCTTCAGGCTAATAGTCTAAAGTGACTGGTCCCTGGCTGAAGGGAACTAAAAGGTAGAACCAAGTGCAAAAGGAATGTGCCAGTATGGCTCCCTGGGTGAACAACTTGGCCTTTTTTGGGTGTCTTGACAGGCCAAGGGAGAACAAATGACTCAGAATGTATTAACATGAAAGTTGTCCAGGCGCAGAGTTGAAGAAACATAAGCAAGACAAAAACTGAGAGACCGTAGAAGGAAGAAGACCCTGTGGTACTGTCATAGAAAACAGTGGAGCTGTGTTAGAAAGCCCCTGAGAACTGGGAAGGCGAGGTAACTCTGGTTACACAGAAGCTGTGGACAAAGGCTATGAAACGGATTACAACACACTGCTAAGAGTCGAGGTCAACTGACATCTACGCTGCATATTATATCGTTTGTATTGAGCTATGGAAGTCCCATTAACTTAAAGTATATGTTTCAAAATCGCCATTGCTACTATTGCTTGTAGCTGTTATTTTGTTTGTTTTATTGTTTTTGACTTTGGAAGAGATGAACTGTGTATTTAACTTAACCTATTGCTCTTAAAACCAGGGAGTCAGAATATATTTGTAAGTTAAATTATTAGTGTTAATAATAAATGTGGATTTTTTTAATTAAAATATATAGAAGCAATTTATGTTTATATGTCCTTGCTACTTTTAAAAACTTGCATTTATTCCTAAGATTTTAAAAATAAATAATTCAAACAAGACTCTTCTGTCTACCATCTCTTTAATATCTAAAACTATTATCTAGTGAATACTATATTTTATGTATGAGTTTGGACAGAACTAATACATAAAATATACTTTTTCTCTCTGCTATCACAAGGCACAAAATCAAACAAGCATATGGACTCATGTTCAATGAGAAACTGAAGTCTTTTAAAAAGGGCTAGAAAAGTTATTTCAAGAAGTAATCTAATTAGCAACATATACTTTATTGTGAGTTAAAGTTCATAAAATCTAGACGTATTTTCTCATTTAACATTCATAGCAATCCTGTGAAAGCTGAGACTCAGAAAGATTAAGTTACTAGTTCCTAACTTTGGGTAACTCTCAAAATTATCTAGAATGTTAAAAAACCACATAAATATACCCCTATTTTGGGGTATAAGCAAGAGAAAAATGAGAATGACTGAATCAAATCTCCAAAGGGTAGGATATGGGAATCTATATTTAAAAGAAAGCTGCAGGTAATTCTGAAGATGATTTTATAATCCACGGTTGTGAACCTGGGAATTAAGGCACAGTCACAGTGCCAGGGATTGCTCACAAGTCTTCCAATGACAACCTACTCTTCTGTGCAACACTGCCACCCACTGACCAGAAGGCATTTCCTAAATCACTGAAGTCTACAATGGTTCTAAGTGTCACCTAAGTAGAAAAACAAGACTCTACAGAAGGGCTCACGTACAGAGAGCCTGGATAGCCTCTACGGCTCTCTCTCCCTGCACACCTGTGCTTTATATCTTATTTGATAATCAGTCACTCACACATCATAACGAAATATGGCTAATGTATGGATAACCTCCCTATGAACTAGCCCAGTCATCAGGCACACAGCAATGAATCTGTATAAGGGGCAATATACAGATCAGGTATAAACAGAATTATTCTTGAGTTTTCATGGGACAGAGTTTAAATTGGTTCCACTTTATGCTTTATTTATTTATTTATTTATTTTTTGAGACAGAGTTTCGCTCGTTACCCAGGCTGGAGTGCAATGGCGCGATCTCGGCTCACCGCAACCTCCGCCTCCTGGGTTCAGGCAATTCTCCTGCCTCAGCCTCCTGAGTAGCTGGGATTACAGGCACATGCCACCATGCCCAGCTAATTTTTTGTATTTTTAGTAGAGACGGGGTTTCACCATGTTGACCAGGATGGTCTTGATCTCTTGACCTCGTGATCCACCCACCTCGGCCTCCCAAAGTGCTGGGATTACAGGCTTGAGCCACTGCGCCCGGCCCACTTTATGCTTTATTCCATACTTTATCAGGTCACCTTGTAACAGAAACTTGGGAATCCAGTGATGATAATAATAATAATAATGATAATCAGCAGCAGCCATTTTCTCTCTCTCCTAACTCATTCCATCACCAAATTCTGTCAATCATTCTTCTATAATCAGTGTCTGTGGTTGGCACATCACTGCTGTTTTTAATTATCCCTGTCCTAGTACAGGCTTCCATGGTTTGCCAATTCACATGACATGTTCTTTGTCTTTCCAGTCTCTTTTCTTTAATCTATACTCTGAACAGCCACAAACAACATCTTCTGACACAGATTTGGACACGTCATATCCCATGACATAGAAGAGGAAGTACAAATGTCTCCCTCTGGGCTTCAAAACCCTCCCCATGTAACCTTCATGGGATAACTCTCATTGCTCATCTCTGGGTATCCTTCCTACCTTGAGTCACACTGGATTACTGACCTTATCTTGTACAATTCTTCACTATCTCCAGCCTTTGATTATGCTCTACTCTCTATCTAAAATGCCCTTTCCTAATCCCTTCCAGTTTTCTACGTTAGAGCAATTCTCCAAGGTTTTGTTTGTTTTCTGTTTTGTTTTGTTTTAAGACAGGCTTGCCGAGGCTGGAGTGCAATAGTGTGATCATGGCTCACTGCGACCTTCACCTTCCAGGTTCAAGTGATTCTCCTGCCTCAGTCTCCCAAGTAGCTGGGACTACAGGCACACACCACCTCCCTGAGCTTTTTTTTTTTTTTTTTTTTGTATTTTTAGTAGAGACAGGGTTTCACCATGTCACCCAGGCTGGTCTCAAACTTCTGACCTCAAGTAATACACCTGCCTTGGCCTTTCAAAGTGCTGGGATTACAGGCATGAGCCTCCATGCCCAGCCTACTGTCATTTTTTGTTATGATGTGATTGTTTCATTAGATCATTCACAGAATTAATTGGAGATAGTGATATCTACTTTTTAAAAATTTGATCCAACTGAACAATCTGATTTTCGGTTCACTAGCTATGTTCTGTCGTGACAATAAAGCAAAGGCAGTAAACAACATGCATGGCTAAAAACCAGAAACGTTTTTTACAATTTACTTTTCTCAAGCTGATTCTGAAGTACTTCTCAATATCCTTTTTCTGGAAAGCTATGAATCTATGGAGATGAAAATGTGGATAATGATGCCTCATAAAAATTGCATATTTACCCATTTAGCCTACATCTAATAAAGTTCAAGTTTCCTTGTTTCTGTGTGCAAACATGGGCTGTATCATACCAGTAGGAATCTTTGAAAGTTTATTGTTGGAAATAAGAATTTATAAAATTTGTGAGGGAGAAACATAGTAAAAGGTAGTTTAAAATGCCATCAATATAAATTATTTTTATATAGGTATAGAATTTTTTCAAGGCCAGTATAAAAACATCTATAGAACAAAAATTACCAGTCACAGAAATAATTCTACCCTTTTTGTTGAGAACAACATCTTGAAGCTAAAACTGTATCATCCTAATAGCAAAATTTGGTATCTTACTATATGCCTAACCTAAATGAACCTTCCTACAAAAAACAGAGACAAAATACAGAACCTTCTATGGATATTTCTCTACAGTCAATATTTGACTTGGTATGTAGTCCTCAGTCACTCCTGTAATTTGAATCTGAAAACAGGACAAAAAGTAAAAGACAGAAAGAGGTGAGGGGAAGGGAAAGGAAAAGGGAGATGGGAAGAGGGAGAGAGAGAAGAAGGGAGGACAGGAGGAAGGGAGAGAGAAAGAAGAAGAGAACAGAAAAGAAAAAGGAAAAAGCATTGGTGAAGCATTTAATATATCTCATTTGATCATTTGAATGACTAAAGTATCATACTTTTAATATTTTACCTTCTCAAATTGAACTTTTAAGCCAAAAAAGAATTTTGCTATAATTTAGAGTTGGCTATATAAATTTACTATAAAACATCCATAACTTCCATAATGATAGATTAGGCTGGGAATGTCAATCTAAGTCCAATAGAACCAGATTTAGAAACCTATGGGAACCATGCCTTAATTTGGAATATTGCCCCCATTTAGGGAAGATCTAAGTAATACACTCGATGACTGAGAAAGGAATCAAGCTTGAGGGATTAGGGAGTTGATTTATTTGAATAAAAAGAAACAGTGTGTTGTAAGCAAATTGTTTTAATTTAGAAAACTTTGTTGGTTATGTTTGTTATGTTTTAGAATTTAATGCGTACATCCTCTTTGCTCCCTCTTCAAACTCTGAAGCATGGTCAGATGTCTTGGCGCCACCTAGCTGAGTATGATAAATTCAAATATTTTAGGGAGCATTTCAAATGAACACTCTGTATGTCACTCAAAAGAGGGAAAAACCAGCCCTCTGCACTTCTCAAATAAAAACTATAAGACTTCCTGGAAGATTTCCTTAGCAAAAATGTTATTCAAATAATACATTATAATAGACATTGGCTTTGTTCATCCAGGAAAAGTACTGGATTTGTTTTTGTTCTATGTTTAACTTTCACTTTTACTTTTAATTGTTATAATATTAGCTGGATTATTTTGTCCTTTTTTTTTTTTTTTACAGAGAAGGGACCTTAGGGTGGATCTTGAAGAACAAATATAAACCAATCAGGGAGAAAGGAGTGAGAACTTTCAAGATGCAGGGAATAGGCTGGAAAAAGTCAGGAAATTAAGGGAAAAAAATACTGTGTTCAGCAATAGTGATGTATTTAGTTTGACTGGAATATATAGGGAAAGAGAAAGTATAAGAGGTAAAGCTAAAAAGGTAGTTTGGGGCAGATTCAGAGAGAAGATAAAGTCTACTCCAAAGAGTGTGAATTTTTATCTTTTACATGATAGGTAACCACTGACATTTTAAACGAAAGTATAAAGTCATAATTGTTTCTGAATGTCTACTATGGGACAGGCACTGTGCTGGATACATGTGTTCCCTGTTTAATTCACATTAAACTTCTTCGAGATAACTATTGTTAGGCTCATTTTACTGATCCAATGCAGAAACAAGTGGAATATAAAATCTAACAACATATAACTAGTGGATGGCACATCTACGATTGGAACCTAAGTTTGTATCTTTCCAAAGACTCTCCGTTACTTCATGATTGTTCATGGAAGGAAGATGATTTCTTTGTGTTTTAAAAAGGGTAATTCTAGATTCTTGCAAAAGAAGACATAATTGAGGAAGGAAAGCCAAATATGAGGCTGGTATTGTAGCCCAGCAAACAAGAATCCAAGCCTGAAATAGAGCAGCAATCGAGGCAATGGGAAGGAGAAGGAGAATAGGCAATACTTGAGAGCAATTTGCTTCAATGAATAATTAATATAGGATAGCAATATAGGATATATCTGAGGCGACTGGGCTGAGCTCCCAAGATCACAGCAATGTCCTTTGCTCTAACATACTGTCGAAGACGTCCTTCCATTACAAATGCTCATTGAACAATTTGGAAATAGAATATGGTAGCACTGGAGGAATATTAAAGTATACACCTTCAAGAGTTTCCACAAGCAAAATAAATTATGCAGTATTTTCAGTAGATAATAGTTTATTCCAATCGCCATGTATGTGAAACATTCCACACGTTTTCTCTCAAAGCTCACTTTTATCTTGGACAAAAGCAGAGGCTTCAAGATACCATCCAGGCTGAGAACAAAAACAAGAATCAAGAAAGAGACTCAGAAGAATTGCAGCAAGTCATAGCTCTAACGTCAAAGCACCATTT